CATTAACGTTAATTTTACTGGATGATCTAGATATCTGTCGAATATTTGTAGGCCTAAAACAAAAACACATACAAATAGTCACATGCAGCTTGATTTTTTTTTACTTTCTTAATTTTTCTTCATAAATTCTGTCTGAATAATAATAATAATAAAATAGGCATAGATTTGTATATTTATTTTGAAAATATCACAGAATTAATAAAATTCTATATAATTTATCATCACTTGAGTTAATAATTTTAATTGACTAATTTCAACAAGTTACAATTGGATTGTAAAATAAATTAATTACTAACACTTACTTAGCAGATTTTGGTCCAGGAATCCTTGACATTGATCTATGGATACCTATGGAAGAGATGGGTCTAGGCAAACTACTCATCTTACTTTGTGGCTTCACAAAAGTATCGTTAGCGCTAGATGGTGGTTGTTCCTTTGGCGTGTCCGGTACTTTAAATACCTATGAATATAATATTTCTCTATATATATTCTGCTTAAATACTGAAGCGATGCACTTACCTCTTGTTTGGCAGATCTTATTTGGGTGGCGTTAAGGTCGACTTTAGTTCTAGCACCTACATTTGGCAAATTACTGTTGTACGGTTGCAGATTTGTGTAAGACTTTCGCAATTGTGAATTGAGCGATCTGAGGTTGCTGCACGAACCTCTTATTTTACTTTCAGGCCTTTTCAATAAACTACCTCCTTTCGCATCGCTCATTGTATACAGCATTTTCGATTTTGGAACTTCGAATGTCTGTTTTAAATTACTTAAACTTTTCACGTTTCTTTCAAGCGTTGGCTTCTCGGATAATGTAGAACGCACTGTTGAATATTCCTCCGACGATAATTCCGAATCAGAATAATTCGATTTGATCACCAAATTTGGAATTGGGGATATACGTGCGTTCTCGAACAATTTGGATAACGATTTAGATGGCTTTGGAGTAGACATCACTCGTAAACCTACAATCAATAACATTATATAAAAAAATTGATTGAAATTGAAATATATTATAAATATTTACTTCTCTCTTGTTCTTGTACAATGGCCTCTACTTCAGCCATCCTGGTATGTTCAATGTCTCTAGTAGTATTGAGAATAGGACTGATTACATCTGAATTATCAGAATTCGAAATAACGAGTGGAGGAGATTCTTTGCAGCTTTCTAGTGAGCTGTTTACTTTTTCAAAATTATAATCAGATTCGCCTCCACTTACGTTTTTCGGAGAATTTTTTTTAGTATCGAGATTGACTGTGCTATTGCAGTCGACCGTCTCTGTACTATTGGAATGGTAACCAATAGACGAAGATTTCCTGGAAAACGTTTCCTCCACTTTCTTTCTGAACGTTTGATTTAGATTATTGTCTTGCATTTCGTATAATACTTTCTCTCGTTCTTTATTGTCTTGAACTTTTTGAAATGTGCTGTTCAGGATTTTAACTTCACTGAACGAATCTTTCTTAAAAGTGTTATTAAATTTATTGTCGTTCCTTTTTTCGTAGGTCGCATTAAATTTATTTGCAGTAATCTTATTTATAGTTATATTTGGATCTATGTTCTCTGCATGGGTGTCCTTTTGAAATGAAACTCTATCACCTAGAAATGCAAACATCTTAATATAATGAATTAAATGTTATTAATTATGATTTGTACCTTTAATAAGTTCATTAAAACTATCTTCTAAATTTTCCTCAAATATTCCTTTGTCTTCTTCAGTTGTAATATTGTTGAAAGTACCATTCAATTTGGGTAACGTCTGTTGCAAAAATGTCTCTGGTGAGTCTGAGTTAATGCTACTACAGCTTTCTGTAAAGGATTGGCACTGTTGTGTTTCATTGACTTGAAAATTTAAAGCTTCCTCTCCGTAGTTTTCATTACTAATTTCTCTCAAAACAGGGTCGTTTTTTATCATACTGCTTTCCATCAAGTTGGTAAAAGTTGAAGAGCACATAGAATTTACTAAACTCGGCGGTGACATATTTAGGAAACAGTCAGATTCCTTAGCAGATGCCAAAATATTATCAAAAAAGTGTGTATACGTTGGTTGAGATAAATCAAAGTCCAAAGGCTTATGCTTTTGGGTGTCCTCATGATTGGAGATATAATTATGAATTTCATTTGATAAGCTGACTCTTCTCTCATCTTCCTCATTGTATCTCTCCAAAGCTGCACCCAAATTCCTTTTCTTGGGTCTTGTAAACGTTCTAGTGTCTATATTCTTTTTTAAAGCATATGGTTTACTTTCAACTTGTTCAGAATTGAAAGTGTTATTACAATCATCCTGATGATTGTATAACCAAGAGCTCAGATTCAATGTTTGTGCAGATTTTGTTTCCATTAACCTAAAATCATGAAGTTTAATACACTGATGATAACAACTGATAATAGTAGTGCCATTCGCATACCATGATTCATCATTGCCCAAATTAATTTGTTCCACATCGATAATATCACCATCATCGACTTGTTCCAAACTATTGTTGCATCCACCTATATCACATTTGGCATTGTATTTTTGAAACAAAGTTTGTATTTCATTGGGTAGTTCCATTTCACTAGCTGCAATAACAAATCTATCTATAGAACTTTCTAAATAGTTATAAAGAAGAAGTAAAGCGGTTTAATAATAATTGCAAAATCGCAAAACCCTTAGCAGATAAGAGAAAATAGTCGTAAATCAGACTTACGAAATATTTATAAATAACATCTAAATATAATAAGTCACATACACAAAACACTACACTATTTCACACAACTGCCTTGAACTGTCTGTCTGTCCATTGCACTTTCTCGAACAAGTTAACCAACCTTAATGAATGAACGTTCAATTTTTTTTCACGTACATTTCGTTTTCTGCACGAAGTTTTCATTTTCTAAAGTTGGTATTCACATAATAATTTGAAGTTTGTTATGTCAAAGTCAAAGACATCAACATAACCTACATTTGTTTTTTTTTGTGTTTTGTATATAGTGAAAATGTCGGGAGCATATTTTTTGATCGATTTTATGAACAATGATATTAACAATATCATAAAACAGCCACTAAAGCATACGCAACGCATTAAGGTATTATTTAACATCTTAAGATAAATATTTTATAATAAATAAGTGCTCTATTACAGTATACTTGTTTCAATGTATCCAAAAATTACTTAATTTTTGGTTCATTAAGTGGTGGACTATATGTGTTTACAAGAAATCCATGTGAATTCCTCAAGCTAGTTCCAACGAAGGTGATATTCTTGCATACTATTAAATTATTGTAATTAATTAATCAATTATTAATTAGGAAGGAGCAATATCTAATATTGCTATTGCCCCAAATGAGAAGGCTATTGCTGCAGGCACCGAAAAGGGTTCAGTAATTCTAATTGAACATTGTTTTACTGATTGCAATTACAAACATCAAGTATATAATGAGCATAAAGGATACATTATAACAGCCCTAATTTGGAATTTCAATGATCTTTATTGTGGGGACAGCAGTGGAAAAGTATCAGCTATTTCAAATATAGGAAGTTTGGTATGTATAAGATGTTACATAGTGTAAACACATTCATTAGTATATAAACATATTTGTCTCATGTTGTAAACACATATTTTCTTAGAACTGAATATTTCATAGAAAATAAATATTTAACAATTAAACTTAAATTCTCATTTAAATTAATGAACATGTGATAATATTTCTTTAATATTGAATATTTAGACTGAGTGTTTACAATTATGTTATAAATCAGCGTTTCTTAAACTGTTTGCTGCGTGAATCAACATATTTTTAGTTAATGTAGTTAAGACTAAACCCATAGGTTGAGAAATTTCATATTTGTTTTGTTCTAGACAAAAACCATATTCCATAATCCAATTACTATATTGATGAACTTGGATAGTAGAATTGTACAGTTAGATGTATACTACAAATACTTGTTAGCGTCAACTGAAACTAAAACATACCTTTGTGACACGGATTTTGAGCAATACCGACAGATTGGAAAAAAAGTTAGGAAAGGCGAGTTCGGAGCATGCTTTTACGCCGTGAGTCCATCGCAAAAAGTAGCTTTAAAAAGTAAGGACAGAAGTATTTTCAAAATATTAAAGGACGATGAGATATTCGCGACTGAAGAAAATTTGGAAGGCGTTAAGATATATTGCACGAGACCCGGTTTGAGAATATGGGAAGCAGATTTTAATGCTTCCGTTATCTGTACTCATCAATTTAAGACGAGTCTGCACGAGGTTAAATCGGAGCTGGTCTCTATAGATCGTAGTAAAGCCGACGCGAATTTGAAACTGACCGTGAGCGGTGACGTTCATGGCATCGTCAATTTCTCGAAAATCATCGTCACCGACAATTTCTTCATTACCTTCGGACCTAATTTACTAATGATCTTTGATAGTGAGATGAAATTGATATTTAAATGTAAATCAATTATAAAGGATGTTAAAGTTGTGAAAAATTATATATATTTGTGGAATTCCAAAGATATTAAAATGATGGCCTTGATGGATTTAGAAATGCTGCTCGCCGAAGCATTGAATAATAAGCAATTTTATATGTGCGCTCAAATATCTTTGAAGTACAAAGATGAGTTGAAGAATATAAAAATGAATCTCTCAAGTATACTTAAGGACAAGTTGCAGGGTAACAAAATTTTATCGCAGTTAGAACCGCATTTGGAAAAGTTGCAAAAACAAGCTAGTGTTTCAAATGGAATTGTTACTGTTGATAATGGTTACGTTCGTGAAGGCTGTTCTTCGCATAAAGAAAACCATTCGGAACCGGATGAAATTTCTGAAAAAGCAAAGGATGAGCCTTTACATGTCGAAGATCAAACAGAGAAATCGGAAGATACTAACTACGTAACAAATATAATTTTTAGGCAATATCAAGTGAATAAGATGAATGAAAAATTAAAGTTACCTCAATTTAAAGAACTATTAATTGCCAGATCTTTAGATGTTATATTAGCTCAATTCAAACAGTTTGAAGAGTATATAAGTAAATTAGAACCAGATGACAATAATGTTTCAGAGTGGTGTTATAATCAATTTGTTGATCATTTAAAAGATGAAAATTTATTGAAAGGCCTAGATAAAGATTCGCTAGAGTTCAACTATATTTTAGAAATGTTTATAAAGTATAATGGAAATAGTTCCCTATTATGCAGCTGCGGGTTTCCCTTGCCTAATGCAAAAAATAATCAACCAAAGTTTTATGATGTTGGCTGTGAATTGATCCAGAAGAAATCTGATATTTATAAATCCGTTCCCTACATGTATAAGAACCATATAGAGTCTACTTTTACGAAAAACATAAATTTGCCTTTACTTGTTCAATTCTCCGATATCGACCTCTTCTGTAGATATTCTAAAAAGTTTACGTACGATTTGTGGGACGAATCTGTGAGGAAGTTAATTAAGTATAAACAAAAAAAATGTTTAAATTGTGATAAAGCTATAGAGTTTGATTCCACCGCAACAATATCTTGGAAACAATTCGCTCTAAGTATGATTAAATCAATAGGCGGTGTTAACACAGTCGAGTTATTAAAGAAGTATTCCAAATATATAGATAACAGTGAATTGGGTGTACAGTTTTATCAGTTGTGTATATTTAGCGAAATTACTGGAGAACACGAGAAGAGCACAACTTTCGTTGAAACCATAAACGGAAAACAGGATCAGGTAAGATTACACAAATATAATAATTTGAATTTACAAATTTTTCTTTTATATTTTAGTTCGAATTGAGCTTAAAAAAGTTTTTAAGCAATAAGCATGCAGGAGATTTAAAAGGTAAAGATGTTATTAAACCCAATCAAAAGTGTTCAAAATGTGATCTTGTTATAAATTCTGCGATATTAGAACATTGCACATTGGTTTGTGGACACCAATATCACAACATATGTTTAATCGGCGACGTTTGTTCTATTTGTGATATCTAAATAAATATATTTATTCAAGAAATTACTTTGCAGTTTACTGTATAATTATATATATATATAAGTTGTTATGAATTATACTGGTACTTCATGAACTGTTCCTATAAAATATAATAAATAAACTTGTTAATTACAAATTAAGTATTAGATGCAGTATTTAATTTGTGTGTTTTGATGACAAATGATGATTCAAGGAATGGAAAGTTGGAGTATTAAAAAAAGTATGTAATAAATAAATTAAAATATGTTTTATTACTTTGATAAAAAAGTAAAGTAATCGAATTGGTCTCGAAAGATAAATACGACGAAATAACGAAAGTTAAATATAACAATAATTAATGATATACACCATATAAGTTTATACTTTCATTTTGTTGTAAATATTATTATATATTGGCCCACCATGGTAATGTCACTTTGCTTATAAGTTATATAAAAATGTAATAAAATAATATGAATAATCTCTTAAAGCGAATATAAATATATAATACATTAATTGAGAGAAATGAAACTAATTTATAAATAGTAATATCATAGTAATTATCTCCTAGATTGTGGACATTCTTCCAATTTTCTCCATACAACCTAAAATCAACAATCAATTATTTTTCACCACATAAAATGTAGATTTTTTAATTAAACTCACATTGCACATTTCTCTAACAAGTGCCTTTTCTCCATCATCCATATCACCATTTGATTCTATAATGTTTTCTCCATGATCTGCAAGTCTGCCCTCCCTCTCCAATTGCTCTCGGACCTCTAAAACTTGCAGAGCCCTTACAACAGCTTCTGGTCTACCAGTCAATGCTGTGACTCCTATGTCCATGGGCATAGCAATTGTTGGATCACCAGTACTTGCAGCAATCTGATTTATTTTGTGTGTCAACGATCTTTTATCATCTTCCAATTGTTTAACTTTGCTCTCCAGACTTCTCACATACTGCATTATCTGATCTGAAATATTAAACCGTATTAATATATTTATTGCTTTTAAAAGTAATTGAGTGCTTACCATTAAAAGAATTTCGCTGTCGAGCCAAATTGTCATGCAATAATCTTTCTCTACTTGCTGTTCTTCTAGAAAGATTTAGATTGGTATACTGTTGAATCAATGTTGGTTCATCTGCATTTGTACTTGAGCTGGACCCATCTCCATCATCTCTTAAATTTGTTCCTGAAGCACTGCTGCCACAAGAAGCACAAATACTATTTCCCCTTTCCTCATCTAAACATAGACATAATTCTTTCAATTCAAGATTGTCTTTGATGAGTTCTTGCTGCTTATTATCTAATTCTCGAAGTTTACTCTGGTAAGCAGACACTTCTTGCTTCATCACAGAAGCAGTGTAACGTCCAAATCTTTGCCATTCCCTAGCAAGCTTCCTGCCTTTTTGTCTGTCATCATCAAGAAAGCAACACAAATCTCGAAGTTCCTGATTATCATCTGCCAGGCGTTGGTTAGCTTCCTTAAGGGACCTCAATTCAATTATCAGTGTTTGCATTTGTCTGGCATCATGCTGACGATTCTGTTCTGGTATTATTTTAATGTTTTCATCAGTTTTCCTAACAAATTTTAACATGTCTGTTTGCCTGTTAAATTCTTCCTCTGTGAAACGTGAATTTTGTACTTTTTGGTGTATTGCTTGTTCATCCAAATGTCTTTGATGCACTTGCACTTGAGTCTCCTCTTGATCAACAACAACTCGATTGTTTTGTGGGATGCCCACTTGATAAGAATAGGGATATTTCAGTTGCTGCTGCTGCTGCTGTGAGTGGAATATTTTTGGTACATAGTGCTTGGCATCTTTATGTTTCAATATTCCTCCAGTGTTAGTTGAAGATGGAGGAAGTGGTGGTGGCTGGTAACGGGGTGGAACTGAGCTTCCCACGTCTGAAGATGTCTTTAATATATACTGCTCTTGTTTCTTGCTATTTGACATGTTAAACAGGAAGAACAAATTATCTCAGCAACGTATATTGGTGTAAACACATCGTGCTCTAGGAAGGTATGCACGTTCGTATTCAGCGCACGGAATTTCATACACTTTTAGGTCAACAACAGTCAACAAACAGGCAGGTCTATCCGTATTTACATATTGGAAGCGTTCCCACTTTTAATTTACTACAAACTATATTCTGTATTTGTTATAGCATTTCGTAAATAATGCGGAGAACTGCACGGACGATGGAACGTTTTATGCAAATATTGTTGTCACTAACTTTATAAACAGAGTTCTTAGCCAATATGGCCGAATAGAAGAACTAGAATTATTGTAGAACGTCATCAGGTAATTGAGAAAGCAAGCACTCGCTGCTGCTGATGCTGGTATATAGATGTGTGCGTGTGAATGTGTGTGTCTATGCTCTTTCCAGTTCTTTTTCAACACACATACGCGCACGGTTTTACTCAAAGATCAACGCACACAACGAAACGAAACCCTACTCAGATACATATATTTAGCTGCAAGAGAACTTACTTTACTGAGCAACGCTTGCGCTTTTTCTTATGTCCTCAATGACCTTTGTAAAACATTTCGCTATCACCCGGTGTTCGGTCGGGAGTTATTTATTAATTTCCCTGATACGACCGGGGATAGTTAGTAAAGATGTCCAAACCGCAGAGTGATCATGAGCGCAGGAAGCAAATCAGCGTGCGAGGCATCGCCGAAGTAGGGGATGTTAACGAGATCAAAAAGACCTTCAACAGGCATCTGCATTACACCCTCGTTAAAGATCGCAATGTCGCGACCACCAGGGACTACTATTTCGCCTTGGCTCATACCGTCAAGGATCATCTAGTGTCCAGGTGGATCCGAACTCAACAATATTATTATGAAAAAGACCCAAAGGTAACAACAAACAGTTTTTACATTTCAATGAGAACAGGACAAAAAAAATATATATTGGCCATCCACCCTAAAAATAAATAACTCATAAATTATCACATTCTGTTATCTGTTTACATATAGATAATAAATATTATTAGTGATTTAATTAAATAAACCTCTAGAGGAATTTTTATATTTTCTTTTTTTCGATTATCATCGGTGAATGTCGGTTCTGATAATGCATGGGATTGGCACAAAAACACGTTGACACCAATTTTTCTCTCATTTCTCAGATTTTTGAAAGTTGTAACATTACATATGTTAGCCTCTATCACAGATTAATTTCCTCAAATAGCCCAAAATCCGTATTGTTGATTTATTTGGCAATTTTAATCTTTACTAGTTCATTTGGGTAAAAAGGCTATCGCACTTGCTGACCAACCACACGTACAATATATTCATCTTTACTGATATTGAAGTGCGGATTTAATAAACTAGTTAAAAATAACACGAAAAAATAAACGTAAACAACGAAGACACTTTAAATGCTAATTCTTTGGTATTCATTGAAAGTGTGTCAAAGAAACATTCACTATTCTCATAAAATTAAGAAAACTTTGTATAGAACTGATCGCGTGTAAATAAATAAAAAAATATTTCAATAAATATTTAGTTTACTGTTCACTGCAGTGAGAATGAAACAACCAAAGTATACAATTATATTCTCACGCTCATCTACAACACATTCTAGTTGTACATAATAATATTTGAAACTTGACAACAATATAAAATGGTACTAATAAAAAAGAATTGGCCCAGATTGTTGCTAAAGTGACTCATAAGTAATTTATACAATTATCTTTAATAAAAAATATATGTGTAGACACAATAAAACGACACCCAAATTATTCTTGGTTGAATCAATAACCCGTTGCAATGTTTTTTTAATAATCCTAGTGGGTTTTATGGAAGAGTCTAGATTAAAGTCAGTGTAATAATAGTATTTATTTAACACTTAGGTGAGGGAGATTCTTAATGCAGCTTCCAGTTGCTACAAGCATAGGTTGCTGTTCAAGAGTAGTATGGAACTATTACTAGGACTAGGTTCTTCCTAGGACTAACTTAAAATAACATAAGTATTGTCTTATATGTAAGAGGACGTACAGAATAATATTCTAAGGATAGGCGCCAGCGTTGTTTTTTATGTCTCCCGATAAGTTTAAAGGGTGATAAATCTTACAATTCTTTGCGTTAATTGTTGGTGGCATAGTTTTTATAGTTGGCTGGACAATTTTTACATAATCCTCCGTTTAAGACAGTAACATAGATGGGACGTAATATCTAGCTGAATGTGAGAAACCAGAGATTTTCTCCAAAAAGGTTTTATTGCCCTATACAGGTATTTCAAGTGCCGATAAGCTTGTCGTGGGAACTTTCCATTTAGACTGTACTTGATACACAGTACACTTATTAGCATATACATATATCAATAATTAATAATAAAGTGGTTGGACACCACAGGTTATTATTGACAAAAAATTCCATTTTATAATCTATTGTATTTTCAGCGTGTTTATTATTTATCTCTGGAATTTTACATGGGCCGTTCATTAACAAATACCATGATCAATTTGGGTATAGAAAGTCCGTGCGACGAAGCTCTATATCAAATAGGTCTTGATATGGAGGAGCTAGAAGATTACGAAGAAGATGCCGGATTGGGAAACGGGGGTTTGGGTCGTTTAGCTGCTTGCTTCTTGGATTCCATGGCGACATTAGGCATGGCCGCGTACGGTTATGGCATTCGTTACGAGTATGGAATCTTTGCGCAAAAAATAATTAATGGTGAACAACAGGAAGAGCCCGACGATTGGCTACGTTTTGGCAACCCTTGGGAGAAGGCTAGACCCGAATACATGATTCCGATTAATTTTTACGGTAAAGTCGAGGAAACGGGAACCGGCAAGAAGTGGGTGAACACTCAAGTGGTCTTCGCTCTGCCTTACGATAATCCGATCCCTGGATACCAAAATAACGTGGTAAATACTCTTCGATTATGGTCAGCAAAATCTCCGATAGATTTTAATTTGAAATTCTGTGAGTTTGTTATGATTTTCTTGTTGTTGTTGTTATTTACTTCTGAATAACTTCTTTTCTATACAGTTAATGACGGCGATTACATTCAAGCTGTATTGGATAGGAATCTTGCTGAAAATATATCACGCGTTTTGTATCCGAACGATAATTTCTTCGAAGGCAAAGAACTGCGTTTGAAACAAGAGTATTTTATGTGCGCTGCAACCTTGCAAGACATCATCCGCAGATTTAAATCATCAAAGTTTGGGTCGCGCGACTCGGTGAGAACAGATTTTAAATTGTTCCCGGACAAAGTGGCAATCCAATTGAACGACACTCATCCAGCGATGGCAATTCCAGAGCTGATGAGAATCCTGGTTGATCTGGAATCGTTGTCTTGGGACGAGGCATGGGATATCACTGTGAAGACTTGCGCCTACACAAACCACACAATCCTTCCTGAAGCGTTGGAAAGATGGTCGGTCACTATGCTGGATAATATCTTACCAAGACATTTGGAGATTATTTACCACATAAACCATCTGCACATGCAACAAGTCTCTCAGAGATGGCCCGATGATATGGATAGGATGAGGCGGATGTCTCTAATCGAAGAAGACGGCGAGAAAAAAGTAAACATGGCTTATCTATCAATAATAGGTTCGCACGCTGTTAATGGCGTGGCAAGAATTCATTCTGAAATCATTAAGAAGGATTTGTAAGTGCTTCGTTTATATAAGAAAAAAACAATAATGTTTATTGTGAGCAGCAGGATTGTATTTGCATATTTATTTTTAGATTCAAAGACTTCTACGAACTGAGTCCTGAAAAATTCCAAAACAAAACGAATGGCATTACGCCAAGACGTTGGCTGTTACTATGCAATCCCGGTCTGAACGATTTGATATCCGACAAGATCGGTGAGAAATGGATAACGCACCTCGACGAATTGGCCCAACTGAAGCAGTTCGCCAAAGACGCGGATTTCCAGCAAAGCGTAATGAAAGTGAAGCAAGAGAACAAACTTAAATTGGCTCAGTACATTGAAAACTATTACAACGTTAAGATTAATTTGTCTTCCATATTCGATATACAAGTTAAACGTATTCACGAGTACAAACGTCAACTCATGAACTGTTTGCACATAATCACAATGTACAATCGTATTAAGAAGGATCCAAACGGACAATTTGTTCCTCGGACGGTGATGATTGGCGGAAAGGCTGCGCCTGGCTATCACATTGCGAAAAAGATAATCAAGCTCATTTGCGCGGTCGGCAACTTAATAAACAATGATCCTATCGTCGGTGATAAACTGAAGGTAATCTTCCTCGAAAATTACCGAGTCACCTTGGCCGAGAAGATTATACCAGCTGCAGACTTGAGCGAACAGATTTCAACAGCCGGAACTGAGGCCTCTGGCACCGGCAACATGAAGTTCCAACTGAACGGCGCTCTTACTATCGGCACCTTGGATGGTGCAAATGTCGAGATGGCTGAAGAAATGGGCAGAGAAAATATATTCATATTCGGGATGACTGTGGAGGAAGTGGAAGAACTGAGCAAGAAAGGTTACAATGCGTACGATTACTACAACAAGAACGAAGAACTGCGCCAGGTCATAGATCAGATCCAGAACGGATTTTTCAGCCCGGATAACCACGACGAGTTCAAAGATATTGCCAATATTTTATTGAACCACGACCGCTTCTATTTGCTTGCTGATTACGAGGCATACATTGAGATGCAAGAAAAAGTTAACGAAACATATCAGGTATTATATTATAATTAAACATATTTCACCAATTTACAAATTATTGTTTTAGGATTCCTCTAAATGGTTGGAAATGGCAATTCATAACATCGCCTCGTCTGGGAAGTTTTCCAGTGATCGCACCATTACAGAATACGGCAAGGACATCTGGGATATTGAACCTACCTATGAGAAACTACCGGAACCGCATGTACCACGTGAAATAGCTCTTAAAGAAAATTAACTTTCTTTTAGATTTTAGTCTATATTGTATTTCACTCGTTAATTGTGATTCATGATTATATCCTTTTATATGATTGCCCAATAGAAATTTATAATTAATAAATATTCTAATTTAATTTCAAAATATCGAAGAAATTATTTAGTATTTCTGAAACAAAATTAATAATATCAATATAATAAATACAACACTACAAATTATATAATAATACTTACTAATCTTCGATACTTTTCCTGTGAAACTGTAATGTTTATTGAACAGTTTCATAGTTGTAATTCTGTATTCGATCACATCCGTCTTGTGAATAACAATGTTATTTATTTGTCCAATCCATTTGCTTCTGTTATTGAACATATTTAAATCACGGTGGGCATACACAGATATGCGCGATCCGTTAATGATCAGTTGTATATGCATTGAAATAGTGTCCTCTTCATGCGCTAGTACAACGATTAATTTATTCTGTTCTAGCATATAGAATTTCACATTATTTTCTTCAGCTTTTATCAATGGTCTGCTTGCAGCCGAGTAAATTAACAGCAACAGAAATAATAGCATTGTGCAAACGGATCGAGTCAGTAGTGTCATTGTACTGGAAATGATTCAAATCATCAATTTTCATTTAAGTTCCAAAGATAAGTTGTCCTATTTCAGTTTCTTTTTGTAAGTCTGTAACTCACAGTGGCGTAGGAATAGAGTGAAAAATCTTAATATTTATTTTACTTTTACTGTTACAAAGGACCATAGGTCTTTCCTCCCAACTTTAATATATTTACTTAATTAAAGAACGCAATTATATTTTTAATAAAAATGAAATAGTACAGAATGAATTAAGTGTATTGCCTCAACTGTGTTGTAAGATAATTGTTGTGAGTCCATGCTACGTCACTGGTAACTCGCAATCAATAATGTTGAGATAGGTCAATAGTTTATTGCATTAATCATCAATTGAATTATGAAATTGAAGTCCAAACATAATTTAATTTTTACTATACTTTCTGCACCCAATAAATTATTATTATTAATTAAATCACTTACTAATAAATATTTATATAAAGTAAACATGTTCTGCGCAAATAAAGATAATTAGATTTATTTACCAACAGATGTTAATATCTGAGTAAACGCAGATTATTGAACTTGGAAATAGTACATGTATATATATATACGTTTATAGTGCTCGGTAACACATTAATGTAACAAAATTTGGTGTATTTCAATGTTAAGCGATGGAAGAACTATTAATTAGTGTGCAAAATAATGATCACAATTCCATAAATTCAATTTTAGATAGGGAACCGGAACTGTTGAACGAAACTATCGATTTTAATGCTAAAATTCTGCACAAAGCTTGTTACGATTACGCAAATAAAGTGACCGCGGCAACAATCCAATTGTTAATTGATAGAGGAGCCGCCGTAGATGCCACGAAACGAAATAATAATTGGATCGCGCTTCATTGTGCTGCAATGGGTATATTAATCTATTTGGTAATATATATATTTTTAACATAAAGTATTTCAGGTCAGAATCCGGAAATCCTTCAAGTCATAGTGGACAACACAAATAATATTAACGCATTGGACAAGTACGACAATAATGCACTGCAGTTACTAGTCAGAGATGGAAACGATAAATGTAAAAGTCTAATTGAGTGTGCAAAGATTCTAATCGATGCTGATATTAACGTCGAGCAGTCTAATAATAAGAATTATACAGCGAGAACGTGGATCGGAAAGAAACATATCAAAGAGCTGAGCGAATTGCTTCCAAGTGAAAAGATTGGGCCAAATGAACTTTTGAAAAGAGAAATACGGCAGTCGATATTCGATCGGGACTTGAATGCATTTCTATCTAATATTGAGAAATATGAGAATGCCGATGACTTTTTCGATTTGGTTATTGGCAATAACTTTCCGGAAGGCCTGAATTATATATTAAGCAATGGGGGAAATATATTGAAGGAGAGACCAACAGTTCTATCGCACGTCGCGTTAATGGGTTACCATGAAATTTTTAAACTGCTTCTATTAGATACACGTACGATATACACGGACGATGTGTTATTGCAAATATTAAAGTATATGGATGGTGAGAAGCAGCCGGGTATCGATCCAAACGCTTGTTATCGTTTGCTGTTGCAAAAATGTCGTGATCGGGTTGATGTTAACTACCAGGATGACCGTGGTAATTACGTTCTGGCGATTGCTTCGAAATATGCCGGATCGAAAATAACCAAGGAATTACTGCAGAGTGGTGCATCATTGGCGAATAAAGATCACGACGGTGTACTGAGCATAAGCGACATGGATTTGAACACTCTGAAAGAGTATTTCGACTCGTGCATAACGTGCTCGAAAATCGAAACCGATAAAACTCTTATAATAATGACATATGATTATAATAGCCTTCTGCCGACGAAGAAGCCAAAAATCAACAAAGACGTAGAGTTAGGAAACGTTACCGAATACGATAAAGAAACAGAAGTGATCCTATTTATAAGTAGATCACCGGAGCTAAGAAGTCTTCTCCTCCATCCATACCTCTCGAGCTTTATCTACATGAAATGGCACAAACTTAGTTACATTTTCTATTCAAACTTATTATTTTATATTTTCTTCTGCATTGCCCTCATTTTATTTATAATTATCCCACATTCGATTCTTCTAATTTACACGATAAACTCGATGTCTGGTATACTGTTAATTCGGGAAATTTTTCAAGTTTTCATCGATTTTAAAAAGTATTCAACGAACGTAGAAAATTACATTGAAATGTTTCTGATAATAAGCATTGCGTGCATAAACGCGACGAACGAGACGGAGCAAAATCAACTGTTTGCCATCATCATCCTATTAGCAACATTCGAATTAGTTTTTCTTTTCGGTAATTTACCGCTCTTCACCATATACATTGTAATGTTACGAAGAGTTTTTTTAAGTTTTTTCAAATTGTTTTGCATCTACTTTATCATTATATTGGCATTTGCTTCTTCGTTCTTCCTGCTCTTCGGGAAACCGTGTCACACGCTTCCCGATTTCAAAAACTACTGGAAAACACTTTTCCGGACGTTCATTATGCTGACTGGAGAGTTTAACAGTAGCGATCTAGAATTTGATGAAAATCCACTGATCAGTCGCGTAATTTTTCTACTTTTTGTCTTCTGCTTTGCAATCGTTTTGCTTAATTTAGTCAACGGTTTAGCTGTGAGTGACATACAAGAAATACGCAAAGAAGCCGAATTAGTGAGTTTAATAGATCGTGCCAAATATATGTCTTATGTAGAATACATATTCTTCAACCTTCCTTCGACGATCATTTACTTTCTCCAAAAATACGTATACAAAAATCGAGGCGATTTAAAATCGTTATTGCGCGAACACATTTCCCTGTTTCCAACGTATCTCAAAGAAAACAAATTGGAAATATATCCTTATAAGAATGGTTTAATTAAACTAGATTATACTAACAGAAGCAAAGATTGCAAGCGAAAAAGAAAATATCTTCAACAATCTATTGTCGATTCCGCGAACAGACTGATACAAACGAACAGGAACCAGGAAAGTGAACGTAGGGAATACTTGGATATTTATAGAAGCATTATAAAAGATGAACTGTATTTATCTTTAAATAGCAAAGTTATATAATTATACTTAACTCTGAACCTTTCCTGCGGTTCTCCATGTGCGCTTTCGCAATTTTGGCAAACTCGTCCCGTTTCAATAACGTATACGAATTAGTTAGAAAGGTAATGGCTGTTTTGTCCAAACATTTTAAACCGAAAGCCATAATGTTCAGTCCCAACTCTAAACCTGTGCCAAAATCGCATTCATCTGCAGCGATACTGGCGTACGTTATAACCGGCTGCAAGTCTGATAAATAATTTAATATATGTTGCTCGCTGGCGTCCTTTAGTTTTCCGAATAGCGTTTTCAATCCTTTATTGTCCATGGCCAATTCTCTGTAACCTAATTGCGTTCTGAAAAGTAAAAAATGCTTAATAAATACAATCAATATTTAATACTAAAATATATGTACTTTTTATCATAAGGCACGACTAATCCAATCCTGTTAAAAGTTTTCGTTACGACTTTCCTATCTCTCTTGTTAATGGCATCGTTTTTAAGTGTTAATGCTATATTTTCTTTTTGAGCAAATTTTCGTAACAATCCGTGTAACTTAGACACTGCCATTTTTTTGAAGACATCTGCAGATTTAACAAAATCTTCTAAATATAAACTAAATACAAGAATATTGATTATCATTCATTATATATCAGAATCAATTTTTTTTATACCTGACTGCTGCAAAGATGTTGCAACCACATTGTTTGAGCACACCATCGATTTTCGCGCAATTCGAAGCCAGGAAAATGGGCAACTCTTTTGGATCATCGCGAAAATAACCGATATGAAAACCTTTAGAATTGTCTCCTTTTAATACTGTTTGAAATTCAGGTGGATCATAATAATATCTGAAATTGATTAATAACAGTAAAATAATTAAAAAAATAGATGGAAATGCAAATACCTCCAATGAAATAAATATTCTTCTGGTGAAGGTTCAGGTTTGTTGCAGAATTTCTGAGCTAACACATCAAATGGACCAACCAATTGCAAATCAATTTCCTCCAAAGCGTTTTCTGGATGCAAAACGTTTATTTCTTTGCAGAAATCCCAAAATTTGTAAAAGTCATCAGGCATTTCAACCAAAAATTTCTCTTTAATGAATAGCTTTTCATCAATTGAATTAGGAACTGTTTTCGTGCTATCCCTGGCTTTGAATATATATGATTCTTTATCTGCAGTATCTTCAGTGCTGATGGGATGTTTAGCTTCAACTTTTGCTTTGATGGGTTTTTTAATGATTGTTTCAGAGTTTGAATCATTTTCAGAGTCTGATATAGTTTCTTTTGCAATTTCAATCTTTTTCCTTTTAGCCATAGGTGCCTTACCCTATAACAAAAGATATTATAATCTAATACAAACGAATCGTTTCATTGCTTTTGATATTACCTGATCCAATTTTCTTTTTGGATGTTTATATTTTTCAAAGTGAGCTGGATTCTTCTGATAACATTTACTCCCATATTTGCAAACCATTCTGGTATCACGTTCTTCAATTTTGTCCATATTTCTAACTAATGTAGATGAACGACCAAATTTATTAATGTTTCGAAACCAAATAAATATCGAATGAAATATAAACGAAAATAAGGTTAAATTTGTTCGACAATTTCTAGCACATGCGTACATATAAAGGATGATATGCAATGTAGTTGCTTTTGGAGTTCTGATGGTAGCAAATATACCTTGTTTGAATCTTTGTCAATTACTTTATGATACAAGAGTAAATTTGAAAGAACAGATTTATGATTTAATACAGCATGAATTCAAAACTAATATCGCTATATAAACAACGTTATTACGTAATTATTTTGTAAAAAGTTATTAATTATTATTGAAATATTGTAAAATTAGATATAAGGGAATATTCAGGGCATTCTAAATCTATTACAAAAGAACTGAAGAAGAAACATTTGAAATTTATTCTCTGTAACATGTCAAGCCAATAACAATCTCATTCCTTGTTCATTCACAATGTAAGTTTTTTAATTAACTAGATTAAGGCTTGAAGTGCTTAAGCAAACATACTTAATAATATTTTAATGCATAGATAACATTATTATTGTTAATAATTCGTTTACAAAAAAAGAATTGAGATAATTCATAGAAAATAGCGCGCAACTCGCACATTCTCTAAACATTTGTAAATTACTTAAAAACGTCCGGTAATAAAAAAAAGAGTAAATAAAACAAAGAACATATCAAATGCTAATAGACTTTGTTTCACAATGAGGATATAGTTTTGGTTCCTTGTCTTTTATATTATTTGATTCGATTGATACCGTTTTAAAACATTTAACATAGTCTTTATACGTCCTAATGAAATCCTCATCAACAATTTGAAGCCACTTTACAAGTGCGTTTTCATTGTCATCAAAAAACGTACAACCTTCGAACACTTGCGAAATGCAAATTTAAAATTTATTTTCCACTAAATATCATCGCTTCCTATAATTAAAAACAACATAAAAAAAAACAACTAAAATCACAGAATTAAAATGCCGTTTCTCTTCTCTCTCCCAAGTAAAAATTTGTGCGCGTGCAAACAGTATGGAATGTGCATAACGGTAGTAACATAAAACGATAAAATTAAATAATCTAGTAGATACCTACAATATCTTAACGAAGCTTTTCTTTCTTTTTTTTTTTGGTGCGAGCCCTTAAAATTATATTACCACAGATGAGAACAATTATAATAATTTAAAAAAAGAAGTACAAGAGTTGTTAGTTCTCTTGGTATGCCTCTTTCGCCTCTTCGCAGTTTCTTTCCATATCCGTAACAGTAATCTCGGTGTTTTGTGCTACCCCGAAGCAATCCGCTCTGGTTTCGCTTACAGTTTTTATAACTCCGTCCACTAGACTACCAGCAAATTGACGGACATCAGCGTCGAGAGGTTCGGATCTTCTCTGTTGATTCTTTTGATTTACGGGCAGTGGCAGCGAAGAGGGACGTGCTTGCTTCTGGAAGGGGAAATTCTTGGCTCCCTCGCCCTAAATATCGATTATAAATATTAAAACATATAATTTTAATAGACACGCATGGTGAGGAGGGCAGGAATAAGGTGGTATTAGCCTTTGATAATCTAGTGATTCAACTTGCATTAGTTCTTGATGGGTCATGGACCTGTAATTCAATTCTTCATGTAGAAACATCGAATAAACTGGACCACCCTCCTCCACCGATTAATTTACATCTACTGTCGTAAAATTCGAGTGCAATTATTGATCTAAACACAGTATTTACAGTGTACAGTCAGCGTACGCAAATTGTTATATGGAATATACGGAAACTTTAAGTGACGTTTAGTTTAACTTACTTGAGGTGTATGGACGGCAATAATTTCGGTCTGAGTCCCAGCTACAGTTTCCTTAAACTGTTGATTCAATGTTGGTTGAATTTGACTAAAGAACGACATGAATTTCGCAATATCCTGCATCGATCCTTGCAATTGTTGTATCTGAAAAACATAATGAATATTTGAATATTTAATATATGTTGGTGTACATTGAAACTAACTTGTGTTTGTAATGACGTGCACGTTTGCGCCAAATTATTAACGATGGCCGTGTTATCGAGAGATCCAAAACTGTTGACCGATTGATTACTAGCAGCTACAGATGGTTGCGTATCGTTGGATGTTTCAGGTTGAAGGGCAGACACTTTCTTCCATAACGCGTTTATAGCTTGCATTTGCAGCATCTGTATTTTTCGTTCACTCTCCAGCGCAGCTTTCGTTGATTCCATGTCGGTGGCCAATTTCCTTAAAAAATTTCTCAAAATTAAAACCACAATCGACAATTTCATAGAACACTGCGCATTACTTTAGGTATTCGTCTGCTCGCTGAGCTTGCAAACACTTGTACGCATCCTGTACATTTTTGTCACGGTTCCTCGCATAGAAGCCGCGCCACATCTTTTGTATAAAAATTGCAGCCATCTCGGCCTTCTCGTCGCCACTGCTATTACTGGAAATCTCATTATCCTTTTGCATTCTCCTCTCTTCTGCTTTCATTTGAATTGTTTGCAATTTCGCATCGCACATTTCCGACTCGTCTTCGGTGCTCGGCGACTTTTTCATAGCCGAAACGAGCGGTTTATGATTAGTTGGCGGTGTATTGGGTTTACTGCTAAAAATACATTACAAATAGGAAAAACGCATTATTTCTACATTATCATGATTTAAATATATAAAAATAGCTCGTAAATTTAAAACTTACCCATTCATGTTCTTTCGATTTCTAACTGGACTCGGGCTATTATTTCTTCTATTATCGATATTCAAGTTTGTGCGAGGTTTGGCAATTTGGCTTCGAGTCATCTTCGGCGATTTCATCGGCGCTACCATTTTCGGAGTAGATTTGATGTTAATATTCGTTGGTGTACCTAATGCAGCGAGTCGCGAAACCAACGGTGATGGTCTATAATCCGGGCTCATCAACGATTCGGGCACAGGCACTAATTTCGATAGGGCTTGAAGAGGACTGTTTATTGGTTCAGTATCTATTGAATATATAATCGCGAATATATAATTAACAGATTATAAAATAAATAAAAATTATACCGTCTAAGCAGATCCCGTTAGTATCACGCATCGGATCAATGATTGGTGTTTGATTAAGTAAACTTGGATCTAAACTCTGGGTCATTATACACGAATTGTCCATGATGTTATTCGAATTGTTATAACAGCTAGACGACATTTTATCTGGCGATTTCGAACGACTACTTAATCTAGAAGCTGAAAGCAAATTTGTTTTTAACAAAAGAATCCCTAAATCAATAGCATGGAAATATTGATCAGTGAATAAAGTGTACCAAGCAATTTAAATAATTAATGGCTGTTGTTAGTTTAGAAACTCACAGTTTAACCTAGGGGAATGTTTGGATCCATGGAATTTTTTCCTGACCGATGGGGACGGTATAGGAGAGTTACCTAGAACGTACATCGCCTTGTTAAATATGAGGCACGAACGAAAACACACAAAGTGGAAACGCGATTGAATGTCATCCCCCACCAAGCCATTATTAAATATCACGCAATTGATTATTTCCTAAATAAAAAATTAATAACCTTGTTCTCTAAGTTGTTGTTGGTGGTGTTGCGCCTTGCTTAAGATTAGCCTTAATTTCCTATCCTCCTCCGTTTCAAGTAGTTCACCAGTCACAGGACACACGGAAGTCAAATATTGGCAAAGCTCTTGGTGATCGCCGACGCGAAAATGTCTTCCTCTCCCTTGCGAATACAACCATTCACCCTTCAAACTAAAACATTTCTTTCATATAGAATCATAACAATTATAACATCGTTTTCGAAATTATACCTTTCTATAGCATTCACCATGTAACCATCCACAACTTTTACGCTCAAACACCAATTTATTATGAATGGACGGTAATTGAAACCTCTTAGAAAAAGTTAAGGAAAAAAAGCGAAAGAATCCTATAGAATATTGATTATAACATAAAACACATCACATTAGCGTAATTAGAATAAAAACATAATTAAAGGATACATTTTATTATCAATCATGTTAACACAGGGATTGCTGGCAATGGAGATGCTGTTCAAGTTAATAAGATTGACTAGTTGTGAGATTTCGTTCAGATCTTGAATATTATTGGAGGCTATTGTGAGTGTGACTAAACTGTTAGGTAGAAATCTTTCACATTGCCTCAAATGACTGATCTTATTGTTATGCAAAAGTAATTCCTAAAATTACGATTATTTGTAGGAGTAAGCAAGGAATATAGATAATTGAATTCTCACCTTAAGGTTGCGAAGAAAGGATAGATCTGTAACATGAGTGATCATATTTTCTGACAGGTCCAGATGTTCCAAGTTCACATTAGTATTCAAATGCTCTATTGTCTAGAAATGAGCAATGATAACTTAATTACAAATCAGTTAATTGTAAATGTCGTACCTTAATGTTATTCCCAGCCAAATTGAGAAACTTCAATTGAGCCAATTCTTTTAGTCCCTCAATTGTTAAAATATTATTATGAGCTAAATTCAATGTCTGTAAATTTTGCAACCTGAAAACACCATTCATCCGGAGCAAATGATTGCGGACTGCAGATAACTAAAATATTATCATTTTTAAACTATTTTCTAATTAAGCTGATTATATAAAATTACCTTTTGTAATTTGATAAAAGTGTCTATGTTATCCAGTCTTTGTAAATCATTGTCATCCAGTATCAATGTTACAGCCTGTACTTCCACTTGCTGTGGCTTGTTCAGTTTCTTCAATTTCTTCGATGAAAAGTCCAATATCTCCTGAATGTTGTCTGTAAATGCTGCTGATGTAAATTCATAAATAATTAATGTGCAAATTGATTTTTACCCATTTTCCCTCACTAATAAGCCATGAATATAGAAAAATATATTTGGCGTAATTTCAAATGGGGTTTTAATAACTGATTGTTTTGTTTATATTATTATTATTATTAGTAGTAGAATTAATAACAAAATTTGACAGATATCTGACAAGACATTTAAAGTGGTTTCGCTCAGATATGAAACGAAGTTGCCCCTTTTCTTGAATGTCACCAACCTAAAAATACTAATTAGAATTCAATACGAAATTCAAAATTTTGCTGTTCTATATCTTCATATATAAATACGTAGATATTAAATTAAAAATGCTTTTAATATATATATTTTAGGAGGTTTCCTTTTCTTTCTACGCCTTTCGGTTTTATCAGCCCCTACAATTTTTTTTGTTGGTTTTTGGGAATCGAACCAACGATCTTTTGTATCATGATGCAGGCAACCATAGCCACACGTTTATTTTATTAATTTCTTCTTTATTCGAATATTATTTACAATAAATTTACTAATAATAATAAAATGTTTATAGAAAGGATGAAAAATGTTGAATTTACTTTAACAGCGCTATTAGTAAACTTTTCTCTCAAATCTTCGCTCATGTCTAGATCAATTCGATCAATATTAGCGAATTCTTGTAAAAGCAAGAAATCGATTTTCGATACATCCTCGGGTTTCACCTGTATCACTAACTTGCGGTTTAGGACATTACTAAATAGATATTCTATGGCTTCCTTGCTTCGACTGGCCGGTACTGCATTCATAAAGAACTCAAAATTTGTGTTATTGATATTGCTCACAATTTCAATCATATCATTCATATGATCAATGGTGAAATACGTTCTTAAATCCTCCAGACCTTTGGTCCATCCTAACGAAAGACTCGCAGATTGGAATTTCTCAGCGAAATCATCGTCTATTATAAAAGGTTTACTTGGAAGAGTTCCTGGACCTTTCGCAACATTTAACCCAATCCACAACTAAAAAATAAATAACAATAACTATTTACAGATTTTGTGAAATTATACAACTTTATTAATAATTCGTTATTACTACCACAATCTATTACTATAGATTAACTGCATGGAGTACTAACCTTTTGGTTTTCATTTATTCCATCTTCGATGTACGGTATTAAGATGTTTTCTGCACTGTCCATAACAAAATCATGATCTACATCTAATCTAACGGCTTTAGAATGATTGATGATTTGTAGAAACTCTTCAAGCTTTAAATTTGAGGTGCATCCCTCTGAAATGATCAAAGTTCTGCCCGAAGAGCAAGGATCCGACGATGTAGTTTCTTCCGAATGTATTAACCCGAAATTAATTTTAGACTGCAACCGGTCAGCGTCACTTTCTTAAAAAATGTTAATCAATTAATTAACTAGTTGAAAGTTAAATGTATAATTTACCGAGTGCCTTTTCCAAGAGTTCTTTTGAACGAATGTCATGTTCCCATTTGACTATATTCAAACAGCGGCAAGAGACGAACAGTCCTATCACAAAAACATAAATAATCAAAAATTTCTAATAATAATAGATGTGCATATCTTACCCAAGATTACGAATCTCCTTAACATAAACATATCTCATCTAGTATGTATGGTTTCACTGTGATTTATGAGTAAATCCTAATTGTGAGAGTATTTAAATAATGCTATTATCATGATACAATTAATCAGATACAATAACTGTATGTGTTATTATAATTTTATCGCGCGATTGCAAATTATTTCTAAATGTGTGAAAACAGTAAACAAAAAAAAAACACATTTCAAATAATCGGATATATTTTTAATAAGAAATTGCGGCAATAATTAATAGATTGTAATAATAATTTATAATATTAACATGAATTTTTAATTTGCTCTGTTTTGATTTTATTTTTAAATAAAATATGAATATTGCATAAAAAGTAAATGTAACAAATAAATAACATTCAATAATATATACAATAGGTAACCAATCATAATAACTTTAGCAATTAATAACATGATACTAAATATGGCACGATTTTTGTTGTTGTTACAAATACAATTACATGACTATAAACGAGTAAAAAACAGCTGGAGCACATTTAGAGTATAAAAAGTGTTTGCTTACAAACTATTGTATCTTATAAAATTATTAAAATACTTTAATATCTTAGAAAGAGAAACGTTATATTTGATCCCTGAAGTTGTACAGATATTGTTTGGAGCGAAATCTTTTGATATTAGTTAATTTTGATTGTTTTCAAAAAAATATATTTGTATATTTGCACAGGATGGATCATTAGCACGGATTCAATTACAAAATAAGTCGTTATTATTATTGTACAAAAACCCACATCCGTTTGCTTCTATAATATCGACGAAAAAAAGTCTATTAGTATTTTAAAATTAGTATCTATCTATTAGAAGAAGATTATTGCGACATTTCAAATCAGTCTACTTTGATAATTCATCATTTGTCCAGAGTGAATGGACCCAGTTGTGAGAAATCCCTGAAGTCTACTTTGAACACAGTCTTAATGATTTCCATCATTCGCGAGGATTCTTCGCTTATTACATGTACGCCGGCTTCATTTTGTACGCTCTCTTCCAAATTTCGCACAGGCAAACAGTGCTGTGGAATCTGTAGAATATTGCCAGAGGCATCGAAACGTGCGTTATTATCGTCCAAGCCCAAAGACCGTAAAAGTGCAATTGGATGGGATGAGATTCGGCTCGAGACTTCTCCAACGTATTTATAGCCCACATGGCTAAATTTGTAACCAGTAAAAATGTGACTATTTGTCTAGCTGGCTTCTTTCGGATTTGTTCCGGGGTGGCGCAAGATCGCCTCGACGCATCCAGAACGAAGATCGTCTGACACGTCGTCTGCAAGAGGGACGCTAACGCTGTGACCAAAACCAGAACGGTGTTGCGTTCGATCGTAAACTGTCCACCAATAATCGTGAACGTGCTGTAGATGAACATTCCAGTCTGAGCTCCAACCAATAAGATGTTATCCAATTGCAAGTTCCTACTTCCGTCGTATTTCAACTGTCGCACTTGCCACATCCCGATTAACGTAGCCAAGGTGGTCAAACCGTACAAAGTCAATTCGGCAATGTTCACCTCGATGACGGCCAAACCGACGAAATCGGCTCGAGAAATTAACACGAAAAAGAGAATTAACGATATAATTGTTAGGACTAACAAGAGTATCCCAACGAAAAGTCCTTTATGCGCTCTAGAGCAATCGACAGAGTAATGATGCGGAGTCCTTTTATAATTCAATTCGGCTTTAGCTTTAAGCGCCGATGCCGATCCTGGTAACTTGGAGATGCTCCTCCACATCACGTACAGTATTGCCGCACAGATTAGACTGTATTCAATAGTGCATGGAAACAAAAACGGAGATGCGTCTTGCACCAAGGACCCGATGATGTTAGTCCTGCGGCATTCGTAAAGAAGATGCGGTCCTTTCAATCCGCGAGCAACAATATGATGACCATGGCTGTGTGCATCTGCCGGATGTTCGGCGGATACCGTCGGTAATCCCAAAACATTCTGTTTATGATATGGAATTCGATGCGAAATCTTCAAAGTGTTGTTCTCCGGATTATAGAAAGTCAGTATTTCGTGTTTCGTTTCCTGCACCAAGACCAACAACCAAACGGATAAGTTTGTGCCAATCATGTGCATCAGTCCGAATCTAGCTGCTATTTTGTGTTTGTACACTCTCATTTGCTGGAATCGATTGTCGATGAGATGTGGGGCAATTGGTAATTAACTGATTCGAACTTACCTCGTTGTTGAGGAAAATGAAATACATTTGGATGAAAATGAAAGCCATACGGGTAGCGGGCGTCAACGCTAGAAATATGTTATGGCATTTCGTGTTCCTTTCCAATTCGAAATACTGCCCAAACTCCAAACCAGAATATATCATGCTTCCAATGCCGAATGCTAAGAAATACAAAAAATACATAATTATTATCTTCAATTCAACCAATCTGCAATTTCCACCAACCCACAGCTCCCATACGTAAATAGAAACTTCCGTAATTCTGCTTAGGTGGTAAAGCGAGTAAAGATCCTTTTCTGGGACGATACGAGGAATCTGTGGTGTTGTCTGATTCTTCGTTTGATATAGTACTGCCTTCGCTCTTCGCAGATTCTATATTTATATATAAGAAAATTATAAAGCAAATGCGTTAATGGTTAAAGATATGTAACATACTATTTTTTTCATCTTCTTCCAATTTTCTTTTGCGACGATCTCTTATCAGCACTATATACATATAAAATAGGAACAGCATGCTTCCTAAATATAAATATAAGTAATATACTTCGTAAAACGACGGAGGAACGTAGGTTGAAATGACTTCTGCCATCGGAAAAGCAGTCCCCATAACAACTAATAGTTTGCCATATAGTGCGGAAAGGGTAGTAGCCAAAGCATCCCTGAAAATAAGTTAAATACAAAACAATTAATTAATACATACGTAGCTAATAAACAATGATAGATTTCATTGTATAAAAATTGTGGCTTCTTCAATACAATAAAATTGAACAATGAAAAATAGGATAATAGTCTGAAAACAATATGAGATTGCAATTGATGGATAATCTAATCAAACAAATCGAAATACTTGGAATGGAATTTCCATAGGATTTAAATATTGTAGTTTATTAAAGATAGCAATATTTCTTAGTTAGTGATGTGAAAAGGCAGGAAAAAGTTTTCTTTTGTTGACGTAATTTTTGGGGTGCACATCTTCAAGAGGGGAGAAAGAAATCAATACGCAGAATGATGAGACGCACGAAACTGGAACGAGAAAACGCGTAGGGTTCAAGTAAGCGCACTTAAGGACCTTATTGCGCTCCTGCTGAAAGTTGCCTCTCCAGTCCCTAGTTAGAGCTCAAAACGTGCATGAGGCTAATTGCTAGAGAGTGTCGGGGACATCTCACTGAAGGAACGAAAATAAAAAAGTTAAAAAAAAAATAAAGTAAAGGAAGGGAGAAATGGAGAAAGAAACAGAACAAAGAATCGGCGTTTGCCTTTGTACGCCAAGTTCCGATTGCATCGTTAATTTCGTACGTCTCATCAATCTTGCGCTCCAAACTTTTCCCCAATAATTTATTGTTATGTAAATGATATTATGTAATGGTAGCGTGGTAGTAAGTATGGAAAACTGAACTTACGCTCCCAGTTGGCGCCACTCGATTTGTTTCTCCGCTCTGGAGAGCCGACGGGCCATAGGAAGCTGTTGATGATGGTAGTAACCGAGCGGTGCCATAGCCATCGGACCCGGACTAACTTCTCTGCTTTAAGAGAAACCACGATGTAGATCAAAAATAGTTTTCGATTTATTTGGAAGGAATACCTGGTTGGAGAAATTTGTATTTGAACATGTCCGGAGGGTTTGGCCGTGAGTTTCGTCGTCGGCGACGTCGAGCGATGGCTTAGCGTTTCAGGCGACACGATGATTGCATGAGGGGTGGACGGGGACGGCACTAAGGGATCTCCGCCGCCCAAAACGCTGCTCCTCGTTCCGCCGCTCACATTTTGCGCTGGGATACTGGGCCAGCTGAAACAGATTGTTAACAACAACAACAACCAGTATCGTTACATGTTACTGCATGGAATCACTGCGGAATCAAGCGTTCAGATTGAATATAATCTGGGCATCTCTAATTGGAAAATCTGTTTGGTTGATTTCAGTTGATGCTCGTATTCAATGTACGGTTAATTATTCAATGTAACTTGTCCGTGTGTATTAAACAATCATTTTGGGAGGCGGTTAGGGTGTTTGCGCGACCGTAAATTACGCCGCCGACGGCGGAGGCGGCATTGACATTGGCAACGAGCAGACCACCCCCGCCTCCCACAGTTGCAATTTATTACATCTCGCTACAATTTTCGGGGGATGCTGATGGTCTGGCTGGCTGCGGCGTAGGAAGGATGGATGCAGGAAGCAATTTCCGAGTGAATTTCATTCAATCAATGATTAATTTTAGCATGCTACCACCACCACTAGTATTTCCACTCTTTCTGTTCGCGCTTCGTTCTAATTTGTTTCGTTTTACCTGCTGCTGTCTGATTCCGTCGGTGGTGACATTTCGCACGAACGCTGGAGCTCCGCCGACTGAAATGCATTTCACGTTGGGATCGAAACCGCGCGAACATTATCCTATTTAAGAGCTGCTCGCATCATTGGGTCCCATTAATAAAAATGTAGCAGATTAGGTCCACTTTGAATTGAATCGACGCCGCCGACGCGTCATCCTTTCTACACTGAAACTCCACGTTGGATTCTTCAAATTAGGTTGCGAACAATCAGCCAGACTGCACCGGAAACTTTTAATTGATTCCCTTGCAACGAAACAGGACAACGTGCAACCTGATCCCTGCAGGACTTCCACAAATGCACACCAAACTCGTTCATCGAAACGCCCTTTTGTTCGCTACTTTAAATAAAGCGCAGCGAATTCCCCGCTGAACAAGAGGAAATTAAACAGGTGGTCATTGCGAAATCAATTCATTATTTCAATTATTTCACATAAATCTATTAATTCGTTAATATATTTCGTCTGTAAACAGTGTAATTTTATTATAACTTTAATCAATAGCAAAATTACACTGTTTTAAATGATAATCATAAAGTGTATAATCAATTTAATTTTTAACGTTTTTAGTAATCAATTAAAATTTTAGGATTGTCCGATATAAATATTATTTACATATTAGTATTATATCGTTGATCTACAAGTTACAATTTTACAATACGAGCATATTTCGTGGATTGGGAAGGGTTTGTAAAGCTGTCTGTATACACTTATTGTGGATCATACCTAAGCTTTTGATCTTCGAATGATTTTCGGTAGGAATCTCTCCGAATACATTGGAGATTGTTTTATATAGTCTCCAAAATATGTACAATAAATATTTTATTTTATACCATAAATGAATACATACAGTTTAGCAACGGGACATCAAAATATTTATATTTCTGTTTCTGAATCGTTTTTTCATTCAAACTAAGCATTGTCAGGATGCTTAGTTCATGAATAAATATTATATTTATATATCTAGTTAGACGATTGAAAGTTGTCACTTAATTAATCTTTGATCGAAATACTTCTATTGCATTGAGATTTTTTTTGCTAATAATAATAATTCATAAAATAATAGTTGTCAATTTGTATAAGCGTTTGGATGAATGAATCACAGAATCTTACATGAATGAGACATTTAACTGTTTATGATTAAGCACGACTGAAAAAAGTAGAGCTTTTATTGAAGATTCATTGAATATGCACAGTACGTGAGTATGTGTTGAAGATGAAGCTTCATTGTGATGGGAACGACGTGACCCGTTGCGTAACTTCCGCCAATAGAAGGAGCCGCATGTTTAGTGTGTATATGTGTGTTTAACGATCGCCGCGGCCTTCACTCTACGATACACAATAACATCAAAGCCCTAGTGGCTTTCGAGTTCAATATACATCTCTCCCCCAAAAAAAAAGGAAAGACCGGAACGAAAGGTTGTCGTAGAAAAACCAAAAACAAACAAACAATTTACCTGTGAATATCATCTCGATGTGCGGTGAGCGCTGTTGATGTCGCCGTCGTCAGGGTAGCAATGTTATCGCATAGATCTGCTCCCGAGGTGGTCGCGATTTCTTCGATGTCCGAATCGATGCCTTTATCGAAATCCATGTAAAACGAATCCCGGGAATCGCTCGAGCCGCGGCGCAGCTTCAAGCTTAAATCCGGCGAACTATCATCCATCTCTTCGTTTCTCTTTTAGCTTTCTTTGTCGAAACAAACACTTCTTACATCTTAGCAAATTGCTGAAAATTGCTATTGTCGTTTGTGTTTACGTTAAGCATTTTCGAAGTTGCTGGAAAACAATTTTACATTCATTTATAAATGATCAATCAATGTTCATATTTGATTAGACACATTTCGAGTTTGAATTGAAGAATGTAGAAAGAAACCTGTGGCTATTCTATATGGAAATAACGATTTTTATCGCAAGTGAATTAACTTAAGGATTGTTGTGAATCTACTTAAGGCAAAATAAGTATATTAAATACGCGTAAAATAAAGGATAAATTGTCTGACAAAGATATTTTGATTTAAAAAAATGTAATGTAATTAAATGGATTATTTTATAATAAATATTGTTATTGTTTTCAAATTTTAAGAATTTCTTAATTAGTTACAAAACGCTTGTGTATATAAATTAGTATTTAGTAGACATCTATATAACGTAACAATCATAAATTTGTTGATAGTTAATTCAATAATTGTATTTTCGTTATGAATTATTCATCGTGATAGCTTTCACGAAGAGAGCAAATTTACCTATATATTGAGCAGGAAATCATTGCACGGCGTTTCGATCAATTGCAAAAAAGTTGTCCACATTCCAACAGTTTTCCCTTTGTCCTCCGCCCTATTCGATGTAAAATTTGTTCTGGTTTTTGGAAGCCGCCTGTAGAAGATCTAATCGTCCCTACGAAACTCGCTCACTCTATTGTTGCAGGACGCGAGACGACACTCTGCGTTTGCAGCAGTCCACGAACTGCCGGTGCTGCGGCATCCCTTTTCCTACGCTGCTAAATATCTATACATACACACACACGCGCAGGGGGTGGTTTCCAAGCACACGCAACGGGAGGGTGAAAGTCAATTCTGGATGCATTCGGAATTGGCTTCGCCCTCCGTTACGCGCGCCGAATTTGCGTTTTCACTTTCACATTTTCATTCACAAATCTGTTGCCCGACGTAAACTGAAAATCGAATACTATGTTAATAGATTACTTAACTTTAATCAATTAGAAAATCGAAATATATAATCCATATATTAATGCTAGTAATCATAATAATATATTATATAAAGTTTCTAAATATTTGAATAATTTATAGCATTAAAACCATGGGTTAGTATAATGTTAAACTTCTTTTATTATTGCTTCTACAAAGACATTTTAGCATTTAAAGTTCTCTTATAATCTATTATTCAACTAATTGTTTAACTAATAACAATTATTATACAAATTTAAAAACAATAATTTATTTTTAAGATAATTTAAAATCTATAAATATCATAACACCTAATTTCATGTACCCAAGAAACCATTTATCTAAATAATCCATTAAAGCTGTATTCTCAATTAGAAATCCATTTAAATCGCGTCTTTAAACTGTATGCAACCCAATAATCACTTACATTTTCTTTTTTTAATTATTTGAATCGTTCTTTGATGAAATTCCAATTACTTTTTAAATATATAAGTAGGCATAGTTTTTGTTTATGTTTTCAATATACGTTGCATGAAAATCTATTATTCCAATGGATAACATTTTGTTGGTGAGAATATGACGCTCAATAGGCTACATCCGTTGATTGAAATATTTTAATATTTCAATCAGCGTCACAAATATATAAACGGCATGACACCATCAAACATGAGAGCTCAAGCAAATAAGACTAATATATTACACTAAATTGTTGTGTTTTTTTTTAAATTTTTGGACAAATTCAATTCAATAAAGTCAATTATCTTGTAGCTTTTAATTGCACGAATATCGAATTTCAGCTTTTCCTAGAACAATTATTATGAATCTTTCAGTTATTCGCTATATCTTTCAGAAACTTGCAAAATATCACTTAAGATCAGTACGTAGTTTATTAAAAACATAGCTTGTGGCAGTTTTTGCTTTATTTTGTGATACAATTTGATTTATTAATCATCATTTATACTTGGAAATACTATAGTTCGGATTCATTTGTTTTGTTTGTTAAAAAATTAAAAAAATGTATGTCTAACGATATTACACGAAAAGTTACGAGTTTAATGAATAAATAAAGTTGGTGATCTTATACATTTGTTTAATTATTTCAAAATAACTCTATTTGTAATTGAAACAAACGTTGTATTTCGTATGGAAAATTGTAATTCTTTATTGAAAAGTTTATAAGAAAAAGAAAAAGTCTTATGAAAATAATTAGAAACAGACATGAAGTTTGTTTCAAAATGGATGTCAAATTTTGTCAGTCAGTCTTTTGGTTTTCAGTTTGTGTCAAATAATTTATAAGTACGTGCGCGGTTAACTGTTGCAAAACCATTATCAATTTTGTAATTTTATGTGATGTTTAGTTTCTTTTTTGTTAAAGTTTTCAACCAATTAAGTAGAAATCAATAGAAACTAAGCCCTTCAAGATGACTACCTCCAGTGAAGATGTCTTGCTACAAGTTCCTCAAGTGAAATATAAAAAGGGTGACGGAACCCTTTTCCTAATGGACTCAAGATTAGCATGGATGGTTGAGAACAGGGATACTGTAGCAGTTTCCCACCTGTACGCTGACATAAAGAGTAAGTACATCTCACTCATGTGTACCTAACCTCACAAATGACCTTATAAACATTTCAGCGCAAAAAATTTCACCTGAGGGTAAATCAAAGATCCAATTGCAAGTGGTTCTACACAGTGGAGTGTCCTCCACTTTCCATTTCACCAATCGAAATGGTGCCCAGGCGCAGGCTCAAGACAGGGATCGAGTGAAGGAGCTGCTACAGAATCTATTGCCAAAGTTTAAAAGGAAAGTCGATAGGGAACTCGAGGAGAAGAATAAACTGTTATCCACAAATCCATCGTTGTTGCAACTGTATAAAGATCTAGTGATGACGGAAGTCGTTTCTTCTGAAGAGTTTTGGGCGCAGCACGCAAGCCAATATACGCAGAAGAAAAATGCACAGTCTCAGGAAATCGGCGTTTCGGGTGCTTTCCTTGCTGACATTAAGCCACAGACTGATGGTTGTAATGGTCTTAAGTATAATATTACAGCAGACATTATTGAATGTATATTCAAGACATATCCTGCTGTCAAAAAGAAATATGTCGAACATGTTCCTGCCAAATTGACTGAATCTCAGTTTTGGACGAAGTTTTTCCAATCGCATTATTTCCATAGGTAAATCAATTCATCGTTGTTTCGAACTTATTGTTTATTTCAATTGGAAATTGTTTGCATTTAGAGATAGGAAGTATGCTGAGAGTAAAGATGTGTTCACTGAATGTGGGAAAATTGATGATCAAGAGATGAAGAAGGACATTCAGAATGGCGTGGATGATCCGCTGGTTGATATCACTGAATTTGATGACAAATTTATCGATGAAGGCTATGGGACGCAATTAGAGAAGTCCAACGTTGGTAATGGCACAGTTAGTCAGGCTATGATTAAAAGGTTCAATCAACACTCGATTATGGTGAGAGTGTGCATTTTCAAATTAAATAAATGATGTTTGTTTATTTTACGTTTCTACTTATTTGTTTTAAGGTGTTGAAAGCGACAAAGAGCAAACCTCCAGAAAATAATGTACCGCAGAATGGTATAGAGCCGAAGCAACAGGTCCTTCATCCAAATGGCGCTGTGCCTGCAACCCGCACGCTGGAAGAGAGCAATAATTTACATAAAAGTAAAAAGCAACGTATTCACGAGAAAATCAGTTACGATGATTTAGATACGAGTATTGATTGTAAACAAAATTCGATAGCTCAATTAAACTTATCAAAGGTTACTTGAAACTACAGTTATTTTTGACATGGTTCAAACAGATACTTATTTTTAGGTCGAAAGATATTTGCATGGTCCGATGCCGGGTTCTGCTATCGAACATTTATCACCGAACGATGTGGCTGCTGCCTCTAGGAATATGCACCAGGAGCTGAAGCAGTGGCGAAGTCGTTTACCAACAAGTGCTCTTGTTAGTCCTGCAGCAGCCGTTGGTGCTTTGGGCGAATTATCTCCAGGAGGTGCTCTAATGAGAGGCTTTCAAGAACAATCACTGGCACGTAAGTTTCTCAAGAAGAAATCTGCATAATTTCCACTATATTTAGATTCTTATGTGTTTACATATAGTTCATCGTTGATGAATGATAATAAAAATGTTTTTCTTGTTTGTTTTTAGAACTTGTACCGCCAGATATTGAAAAGGAAGTACGTAATTTATATTTGGGTCTCTGCGAGTTGCTGAGTCACTTCTGGAAGTGTTTTCCTGCGACCTCACAAGCGAGCGAACAAAAATTGGTAAAAATGCACGAAGCGCTGCACAGATTTCATTCTGCCAAAATAAAACCATTCGAGGTATATGCGTTGTTTACTTTTCTGTATTCTATAATTTAAAAGCATTGATATTATTTTAGGATAAACTTATCAGAGAATTATCACCATTATCACATAATTTAACGAAACATCTGAACCAGCTACTGAACGCTGCCTACCAAAAATTTAGCACCTGGCAAAAAATGAAAATGAACCATCGGTAGCAGGAACACAGTTTTCCGATTAGGTGTTTCTTTTCAAATTATATAATAAAATTGATATTATTGTAATACCTTTCTACCTTATATTACAAAAGTATTAATTATTTTTATTAATTAAATATTTTTTTTTAATTTTCTTACGACTTTTCAAAGAATTTATCCTTATTAATTAATCATTTTGTTAGTATTTATTGCTGGTATAAAAAAATACAAGAAATAGCAGCGAGCTTTACAATACAGGATTCCTATAAGCTACAATACAATATAAATTCGTCTTCTACGTGGTAGGTGGTGCTGCATCAAGTTATGCAACTCTACTTTCTTGAATCGTATGTTTAAATTTAAAAGTTACAAATAAATAATTGTTAATAAAATATTACAAAATCATCGTTATCTAGACATTGGCGATTGGTCATCAGTAATAGTAGTCGTAATTGGGACGTCTGTAGTATCTTTCATCTGGATAATGGTAATTCAATTGACCCCTGGAGTAATCATTATAGTCGTTGTACCTTTCCACGTATCTGGGGTCTTCGTATATTGTAATTCTGCCTCCTTGATGTTGATTGTTGTAATAGTCAGGTTTATAATGTTTATATGCTTCCTCGTTTACGTTTAATGAACTATCGTAACCATGTCCCAATTTATTGACTCCGTCGTGTTTCCTCTCATCGTAAACTCTTTCGTTATTGTAGTTTCTTTTATTCGCTTGCCCATTTTCGTGATTATTCCCAGTAGAAAAATGTCCATTATTTACATTAGCTTTATTATGTGCGGCTCCATCCGAGTAATATCCGTTAGTATTCTTGTTAGCCTTTTCCCCAAAAGCCTTCTTAGTTGTGTCTCTCGTGTAACCATCTCCTTCGTCATTGGAATCATCCCAGTAGCTGCTGTTACTTCCACTCTCATCTTTGTGGTACGTATTATGGAATCCAGATTTCTGATGTCCTTTCTTATGTTCCGCCTTCTTGCCGTAATCGGAAACAACGCCGCCGTCCGTATTTTGGTAACCACCCTCTTCGAATTTTCCCTCATCTAAATGCTCTTTATTGTCCGCTTCTCTCTGCACAAATTCACCACCTTCCTGCCCTTTCTTGAAATTATCTTCGTTCCCTGAGCGGAATCCATGCTCGGACTCGAAGTTCGCCAAACCCAGTTGGGTGGTAGCGCCAAAGTTATTACCCGATTTGCGCAAACTGTGGTCGTTCAGTTTCGCTATGCCAGAACGAATCACGAGACTCTGAACCGAAATTGCTAAAGCGAGTAGAACCAAGAGCTGAGGAGGTAACATGGTTTTAGGATGTTTCGAATTGAACTGACTTGCTCTTCTTTTGCTGCTTGTTTATATACGTGCGAACAGGTTCACTAGAACTACTTGACCTTAACGCATTGATTCAATTGTATCCTGTTTTTTCATCTTAGATTTTCACGCTTTAATCCGCCGCTACTGTACAAATTTCCTGAAATTAGAGGCCACGTACTCCTTTTTTTTTAAAGTCTTTGCATTGTTATTTAGTGAGTCACATTTATTGAATCAAATCGCGGGTGGTGAAAATCGTAAGCACATATTCTTATTCCATTTGCGATGCTGCTGTGTTAAATCGTGCGAAAAGGTGGTGAGTTCAGCAGAATATTTAGATGAAGTCTTCTCTTTTCCCGCCGTTCATCGGTGTGTATGTGTGTGTGTGTGTGTGTATGCCAAGGGGAAATTGTCCCGAAATCCCGCAGGAATCACAGGAATTAGTTTGATATACATTGTTCACATTCCTGCCGGGAATTGCCCACATTCAGATTCAACCTCTAACTACGACTGCATTAACACAACAAGCTTGTTGAAAATCATGCTTCACATAAATTATCTTATTAAATAAATAAATGATTTATAGGAATAATCAATGAATAACATTGATGGATATAAATCCATGTGGTCCTTTAGCAAAAGGGGAGCCAAGAAGGAATATGTTTCTTTTCCATTTATCTGTATGCTGTCTCGCTTTGGGAATAAATCGTGTTCATATTTGATTCAATAAAGTCGGATGCGGCGAGTGAATGTCGTGGCCGTTGTCTTCCTGCTCCTGCCGAATAATAAAATAAAAACAAGGGAGATATCATCTGACGCTGATGGATGTCCGGCGGCGGGCGAATCCGACTCCCCTCAAACGTTCCCTTCATTTCATCCCCAAGAAAAAGTTACCCGTGATCTGCCTGCACTGAATTCTTAACTAAAACTGTCACAACAGTGAGACGTCAGCGTTTTCAACCGCCGCGAAATTAACGCAATTACCTGTATACGTAAGTCGCGTGCATGTGTGCAAACTTCTCAATTGTATTAATCTTTTACGTAATTACAACACATAAAAGCTACCTGGGAAAAGCCCCCGAGGTTCTTACGGCGGAATTAGTACAATAACGCGCGAAACTTTCCGTATACATTTCCAAAACAAATTGGGAATTTCACCGTTAAGATACTAATTTAAACTTTACATTATTCACCTTCTTCTTCTTCATTCACCTACGTATTACAATACACGCTCACGCTAATCCAATTAATAACTCAATAGTTTAAGTAAATATAATGTAAAACCACTAATATTTCCTTTATTACGGTAAACACTGATTTATTTATTACAAACAGATATCTATTTTAGTGATTTATTGGTGCAAGTTTGATTTTGTAACTAATACCTTACTATTTCATTCACATCTAGTTTTCATGAGGTCGAATTATAATGAGATATTCGCGAGGATTTACTGAATTTCATTAATAATAATACATATGAATAAGATCATTATTTTCTTAAAATCTAGTTTATCCATTATTTATAGAAATGACTTGGTGATTATTTCATAATTTAAGATTAATAATATGGAATCAAAATAATGAATATTATTTAAAAAATGAAGAGAAATAATTGATTAATCAGGATGGAGCTGTTGGATGGAGAGTGTGCGTGTCGGATTGTCCTATTTTTCTTTTCATTGTGCATTGGGGGGTATGGTTTTGCACGGGACGTTGTAGAATTAGTCGGTACAAGAATATCCACTCGAGCTCGGCGTCCCGACGCTAATCAGCGACGCCTTAACTATTGATAGGACCCGAAAGGGTTCCTCAACCGAGACCAACAGTTTCCACGTTGAATCATTTAAAAGTGGCCAATTAATATAAAACCGAAGACGTGTTCGGGTTATTGGATAGGGAAGAGCTCGCTTCTTGGGAATTAGAGCGGCCGAACGGGACGGGATTAAGTTCTCGTAAACTTTTGCGAATCGGAAAAGTGGGATAAATAAATTAGTTCAATATTAGTGGGACGTGTAACTTAATTGGAATACAAGATTATGAAGGTGGAGTGTGCGGGGTAGTTCGGTTCGGTACACTCGGGTGTTGCGATCTTGGTTATCTAGTTCCGGTTAAAATAAACAAAGCGAAGACGACGTATACACACACACACACACCTCCGCTACCGCTTACAATAATACTTAGAGACAATATTGCCTTAAGATTATACGGTATAACCTTAGACTAACCCCAGAGAACGGCGGTGGAGGAGGAAACAAAGGCTCACCTAACCCGAGGGCCGCATAATTCCGTTCCATGGAATCCCTTTGTAAACTAAACTGGACTCGAACTTCCCCCTTATCTGCAAATTCTATCATTCTCTGTATATACACACACATAATACACCTTCCTAAGATTATTTTCTTATTAATACATGCTGATACAAATGAATCCATAATTTACAAAAACATAACGCATTCTGAGTACCAATTTATACAATTTCCAATTAAATAACTAGACTCATATCATTTAATTTAATACATGTTGGATGATAAATGAAATTGAATGATTTCTTCAAAGACATATCAATTTCATTTTGATTGCAATGTCAAGTCCAACGGGGGTCATTGAATTAGATATGAAATATTCTATGCAAATACTCTGGACATCTCTGACAAATAAGAATTTGATTGTTGCGAAAGTATGTGCGAGGCCCCGGGCATTCCTTGTCCTTTGTCGCGTGGATCTGTCGCCATGGGAGATTATTATCCTGCACTCCACTTCGTATACTGCACGTATATTGTGTCCATCTGAATATTTTTATTGGAATTCCTTCCAGCTGGATGCAATCGACATCTCAATTACTTCGGTCTCGGGGAACTTGTATTGGCAGTAGCAGCGTGCGTCAATAACGATCAGTTTGGCAATATAAATCCTCGCAACAGCCACCCCCCTGCTCCCTCATGCAACCTCCCCTTTCCTTCCGCCGAACACCTGACGTTTTTCCCAGGGTCGCGGACTTAACAAATGATACGCCATTTGCGTGGTAAATCGCGAGATAAGTCTGTCGGGAGATAATGCCCAAGTTTTCTCCGAGTGGCGCAGAAGAGGAAGATAAATTGCTCTTGTTTTGCCTGATATATATATATATAAAAAGCGTTCCCGTCGATTTTAATAATTTTCGCGGTGCGTTCCAGATAATCCCCCACTTCTGGGGGGCGCGCAGCCCCCATGGACTGAAGGAGGCGGCGGCAGCATCTAGAGAGCAGTAAAAGTTCATAAAGATAATGTCCCTGTACCGGAACAACGAGCAAATTGTACTAAAGTTATTCAGAGAGAGCAAGATAGAGAGAGAGAGAAGCAATGGGAAAAGATAGAGTTGTTCTCTTGCTAGATGTTCCCGAACGGTCTCGCCCCAAACTTTACCAATTAATTTTTTCCTTTTACAATCCTTTACTTTATTATCCTTCGAGGAATTAACTCAGATAAAACAGCGCGAATAAATTTAAACTGACAGATTAAGAATTATTACGACCGTCCCTCTCCCATCTTCATCTCTTCCTCTTTTTTTATTATTGTTCTTTCGCCCTTATCCGTCGGCGATGCCCGAAAAACGCGGTATGTCTGTCCGCGAGCGCGCGCCACCCTCTTCCGCCGTTTATCTTCCGCGGAAATATAATTATTTTACGAGACAGGGCGCAATTTTGATTGCGCTTTTAATTTCCCAGACCGTGGATACATGCGAGAGATATCCTCTTCGTGCCCTACGCTCATTACTCACGTCGATATAATGG